CCTGCATCATTTGTGTTGGCCAGCAGCAACGATTCCATTGGTTACAAAATAGGTCAGTTTGTACAGAAGTCTATAATAAAACGACCCTACTCCTCACATGATTTTTTACTTTAGTAAACATTTTCCTAATGAGTTTTTGGTCTCTGTGCTGGCAGAGATTCTTTCATATTCTCACCAGCAGTCTGTGCTGTTGTTTTTTCTGTTTGTTTCTGCTGTGTGGCAATAGCCAATAGGAACGCTTCTGGTTGTCAGTAAACAGGAAGTAAACCTCACCTGTTCAATTAACGCCAGAGTTCACTTGCTTAAAATGACCTCCATCCTCTTCCGTTGTTTGATGGAAAGCCTTGCTTGCTTGTGAGTATTTTCAGTCATTTAGATGTTGCGTAGAAGTTCTGGATGACTATCTTTCAAGTGTTTAACCTTATTGAACCGACATTTTGTTTAATGCTGAACGTATTGCTGCAGTGTGTTTGTATGTAACTTTAGAATTTACATCTTCTTTATAAGAATTAACATTAGAATAAATGCGAAGTATGTAAATTACCCATTTTCTTTTGTTCTTTATTAATCACTTTTGATGTGTTTGTATGGGCTTCATGCATATTTAGATACTGCATACATATATTTGTATGTAGGAATGTGATACTCATAAGTGTAACATCCAAACAAAGTTTACTAGGTTGACATTTCAATAAAGAAGACGATACACCTGTCCCTATGTTGAGGAATGGATTCAGGTTAAACAGTGAGGGCAGAGCAAGTTGAAATACTAGTTTGAAGTCTTCTTCAACAGGAGCATTGATAGTAAAAAATGTTTAAGGGCCTGTCTACATTGTGATTGAAAAGTTGCTATCAGTGTTGTCTGGTTTCATTATTTTCCGTGTTTTTCTCTTGGAATTTAGAATATGTTTGTGTTTTCACTTCATGAAAGGTCATTGTTAAGTATTGGCCGTCTTAAAATGTCTCGTCTCCAAAAGGAGGCCTTGATATGGCAGTGTACGAACCAAAAGTGGACATCACTGTCTTTGTCCGCAGTATAAATATTCAATCAACCTGTCTGCACTCCATACATACAATACACTGACCCATTACTCAATTGTCAGGATCTTAGACATTCTAAAACCCTTTAGATCTGTGCACATATTATACAAAAGAGCACTTCAAGTTTGTCTGGTACGATATGTGTTTTCCATTTCCTCCAAGCTAACCGTTAGCCATGTAACCATTTTTCTCCTTTTAGTTTTGATATGCTTTTTAACCCTCAGTATTGGTTTTAAGACCCATCCACAGTTGTTGCTGCTTGAACATAACGTATATCAAAACCAGTTGAAAAGATTCTAATAATAATGTCTGCTTCTCTCGACATCCCACTGGGCGTCTTGATTCTCATGTTGAGAAACTTCTAACTTTTTACCTCAAGGACAGGAAAATGTCCGTTCAAAGGCCGGCACTCCAACAAGTGCCTCGTGGACTGAGAGTGAGACCAATTGAACTCATCTATCTGAAAGCTATGAATAATAACTATCAGTTCATACTTATAAAATATGTATGAACGGATCCTATCCGGACAAATTGCATGAAGTTTGTCTGTCCTTGACTCGGGCTAATCAGGGCCACATTAGGAGCTATTTGGACGGGCATGTCATACAATGAGGCCATTTTATATTACCAGCTAATACTGACATCCACTAACTGCTAATGACCCCATCAAAGCCCCTAAAAATACCATTAGTTTCTTCCCCCATTTAACATGAGAAGAGATATTTAAGTTTAATGTGAAATAATTCTGCTTTTAGATAATGTGTCTGTGAGCACCTCAGATCACACACGTTTCCGACATTAATGGTTCCTAGATGATGAATCTTTGTAGAACGCCTGACTTTTCCTCTAGACACACAAAGCTAACATTTCTTCTTTGAATAACTCTTTCTATAACTTTGTTACCTGATGCATTATTTTAAAACTATTCTATCCAGCCACTGACCTGAAATGGTATACCAATGATAGTTCAGAGCAGCATTTTCTTTTTACTTCAAACATTTATCTAGAATGCTGCTATATATTAAAGGGGACCTATCATGCAAAATGCACTTTTGTACGTCTCTTATACATGAATATGTGTCCCCGGTGTTCCAGGGAACTCACCAAGTGTCAGAAAACACAACCCTCTCTATTTTCCTCCATACCCAAATCTCTTAAAAAGGGGCTGCAACGGATCTGATACAGACTGATCCAGATTTGAACACTTCTATGACGTCACAGAAGTGGCGCTACGGCTATTGGGCCAACTCCACCAATCAGGAGGAGACAGCCACGGACATTGCCGAGTTGGCCCAATAGCCGTAGCGCCACTTCTGTGACGTCATAGAAGTGTTCAAATCTGGATCAGTCNCCAATGAGGGCACGAGATAAGTTTGTGCACATATGGAAGGCTGACAGGCAGGTAGGCCATCCAGTTATTTTAGCCGGGCCGGCTCAGATGATTGGACGTGCTTTTTACAGTACCACGGCTTCCACAGATGACATTTCTTAATGGATTTATTGTCAAAGCATTTAAGATATTCATTGCTTTCGGGATGATAAGAGCATTCCATGCAATATAACAAAAAGTGTTTCTGTAATAAATTACATACCCCACCTTTTACCGCCTTGAAATTACATACTAACAATATTTACCAAAATGTTATGATTTAATAATCTGCCTGACTTCTGAATCACTTTTTTTCAGCCTTCAGAGTTGTCCCCATACCAAACTGGAATGCAAAAATATACAAGAAAACAAGGAAAAAGTTATTATTATCACATAGTATAGGCAACTGAGGAAAAAGACGAAAAATCATATTATAAATACCAACATTACCTTCAGTTATGTTAACCTTATTAGTTAACAGGATTTCTGCTTGTGTTTCATCCATATTCATGTACAAAGTGTTAGCTTGGTTCTGTAGAAAGACAGGGATTCAATCTGTTTATACTGATATATTAATAATGTAATTCAGTGAGTTATTAAAGCTTACCATAAAAGCTGCAAACAGTGTGCTGCCGATGCCTCTCTGCACATGTTCCTCAATATTTGGGAATGAGCGGACAAAGTGCTACGCAAAGAAGAAAGAATAAGTGTGTGTGTGAGAGAGAAAAAGAATACAATTGATGTCTGTCTGAAAGCTTGTATGTACCTTCAAGGCCAGACTGGCTTGTATTTGGGCATCGGTGTGTTCCCTGTTACCCATAGCGTACAGAAGACGTTGGATCACTCCGAGAGAGAGAAGCTCACGAGAAACTTCTTGACTGTCTTCAGCTAGCAAGCTTTAACACATTAAACACCATTAAATACATATCCTATTAAAATACTATTACTAACTATAAAGCAATGAGCCATTAATATACATTATTTTCAAACATAATGTAATTTTTCAAACACCACTTTATAAAAAAGACTATAGTTATAATGGATTATTGTTACATACCGTATAGATTTAGCTGCAGCAGCTTGTTGCACAAACACAGGCAGAGATCCCGTCATCTGGATAATCTCAGACTCTGAAGGAATCATATTAATAAAAAATGTTGTGGGTTTGGGGAGTTGGAAAATGACTTATTTGTTTCATAAATTGTGATATTATTAGCATAACTTGAGTATTCCTTAAGAAAATACACACCCTGTCACTGACCAGCCTAAAATGGGAAATATATTAAACTTAAAGTGGACCTATCATGCTATATTGGAAAAATATATTGTAAGGCCATACCTATACAAAACATGTCCGTGAAGGTTTTTGCTTAAAATACCAAACAGATCACCCATTGTAGCCATGCCTCATACTGCTCATACCCCTCTTTTGCAGCCCTGTTGGAGAAACGCGGATTTTGGGTCCTTAGCTTAAAAAAAACAAAAGTGGAGGCGGAGCTAATACCTGATCAGAATTCTACCGGAGATAAAGTTAAATTCTGCTGTGATAAAACGCCATCCTGTTCTAAACCACATCAAGGATTATTTCTGAAACGGTATGGAGCTCAAATGCTTTTTTTCTTGCAGGTTTATCACAAGGTGAGTTCTTTTTTTATTTCCTGCTTTTTAAAAACACATGTGCTCTTCAGTACAGGTTAGCTCTGAGTGTTAGCGAGGCTTGCTAATGTAAACACAGACCATATTACACGCCACAAACACGTCAGGCATTGTTTCTGATAGCAACTTTCTGTGGGTCCGCCGCCGATTTGACGTCATATCGGCAGAAAATCTGTATCCGCTCGTTGTACCCCCGTTTTTAAAAGACTTGGGTACGGAGGAAAAGAGAGAGGGTTTTATTTTCTGACGCTGCGTGAGTCCCCTGACACACCGGGGACATATTTATGTATAAAAGACATCAAAAAGTGCATTTTGCATGATAGGTCCCTTTTATAGTAAAACAAACACACTTAAAGATTAAAGTGTCACCTTGCATATTCTGGTGCTGCACATTTTCTTTAGTTGGCCTCAGCAGAGCCAACAGTCCGTCGAGCAGCAGCGGCCTCACTTCATAACACCTCAGACCCAAAAACAGATTTATAGCTGCAAGACCAAAAAGGAAAATCAATAAAGGTGATCATTTATGACACCGACAATTTTGAGCCCCAGCACACAGGGAATACCAAATACATTTGTAATTTCAAAGCAAGATTTGGCATACAAAACAAAAAAAATTAATCAACCACAGTAAAAGTCTGTATTCTTACCTTCATCCTGAACCTCCAGGTGCAGAGAACTGAACAAACCCAGCAGAGGTTCTACTATGCTGTGGTGGGCTGTCTTCATTTTTGGACTGTGAGAAGAATAGATCCCATAAGAGTTTACATTTGGCCAAAGTGAGTGAGCAAACTAGTAAGAGGGCACATGCTCTGAGAACAATGCTAATAAATGTCTTAGTGTGCACTCATACTTTACCTGCACAGTGTGTAAGGAG